TTTCATCTCAGGACCTATAAAAGCTGCGGGGCTGAAATTTCGGTAACTTAATCCACATAAACGTGCCGCCCCCAATCCCTAAAATGGGCGCCAAAACCCGCGTGGTACACGCGTACGGGCCCGCCAAAGCTTTTTTGGGGTCAGTTCATAACTCGAGGATCTGAGAAGCTAAAATGCTGAAATCTTGAAATAATGTTCCCCGCGCAACCCGGTATTAGTAGGCTTAAAACCAACCCCTGGGTAAGCGTGGTTCCCACGTACGAGCCCGCTAAAATTTTTTTCGGGTAAGTTCATAACTCGGGGATCTGAGAAGCTGGAAGGCTTAAATCTTGGGGCGCCACGGAAGCTAGAAGGCTGAAATTTTAAGGGGATGTTTCCTGACAGTTCTGGCGGCCAGTCTTAATTTGTTTAGCTAGAAGTATTTGCCGAAAAAACCGGTACCGGTAGCAACAAAAACTGCAGGGAACCATGCAAAAAACGCATCTTCGCACGGGCAGCCCGTGCGTTGGTCAATTATTCTTAACTCTTCGGCGATAATCATACAGAAAGGCCTGAACACACTTAAATGTAAGAAAAAATTCAAAGAAAAAATAACCATTTCAGAGGGAAATATTTTTAGATGAGGCACACTGGGAGCCGAACTAGCCCGCGAACGAAACATGCCGCTTTGTGAATTCCGATAGATTTTTATCTCAGACAAACGATTCAGCAAATACTTCAGTGCCCAAAAAACACCATCCTCGGCCCAGTGCTTGATCAGCAGGCAACGGATCACCGCAACATCCAGGTATGTGGCCTCCTGCGGATCTCCACTTGTCTAGAATTGATTGAAAGCAAAATCTAAAGTAATGCAATTTTTGTCTGAATTTAGGCTGAAATCAAAAGTTACGCGAAAAGAAGCTGTTTTTCAAATTTATGCCTGAAAAACTTTTGCATAAAACTGTTTGTGCACCCAGCTTTAGTGTAAATGTTAACAGTGCTGATCGAATGTATTGTTAATATAGAGAGCGTGGACGACGAAATGAATGCAATGAAAGTTAGCCGGCTAGCCGAAAAAGCTAACTTCCTGTCAGGCCGGTGAGCGGACTGCCTATGCTAGAAACTTGTCTTAGAACTGCATTCGGGAGCAGTTCTTACTGGTGCACTGAGCAACAAAAATAAGACACTCTATCAGACTTTTAAGCTACAGGTCTGTGAATGCGCAACTGGCGCTGCTCGACACCGCGAAACATGCTCAAACTATTATCAGGCTCTGTGAAAGTTGAACACACTTGCTGTGCAGTATCGCTTTCTAAGGATAAATTCTCGAGTGGGTCGAATACTTTCGACGGTCCGTCGCCGGCTTGTTGCGTCCCTCGTCTGACCACTGTCGCGCCACTTAACGTCGATACCGTATCTTCTGCAACACCAAAAAGTATATTCTTCGGGATTTTGAACAAAAATTATGAATTTTTACTGAATTTTGAATCTACAAATAGGTGGAATACGCAGCAGGCG